TGGTTGGTGAGCATTTTCATCAGTAGGCCTTCATGCCAAACCGTATCGAAGGCCTTTGCGACGTCCAGGAAGACAGCACCAGTGTACTGTTCCCTGTTGAAGGCCGCCGTGATGTGCTCGGTAAGGCGAAGGATTTGGAGTTCAGTGGAGTGATTGGGTCGGAAGGCGAACTGGCTAAATGAGCAAACAGGAGTGAGATATAGAGAAAGCAAAAAAACCACGAGCTATCTCCCTTACTCCGTAATGTGAGGTGCTAGAGTGGAATCACGGGGTTGATTCTCAACCAATAAAATTTACGGAGAGAGATAGTTCGTAGTTTTATTTGCTTTCTCTCTCGCACGTCTGTTCGCTCATTTGTTTATTATAGCATTGAAGGCTGCCTCTAGTAGATATATGCTCGAAGGCATAGAAAAAAGGTAACGTATTGTTTTTGTTTAGTTGTTATCACTGAAATTTCTACTTATATATAGTATTCTGTTATTGTTAGGGGATATTTCTTTAATTCCGCCAATAAACCTTATAAATTTTCTTTATTCATGGTGGATAAAAAATTTTACTTTTTGTGTACCGCCTAAACAGAAGAAAAACTGCTAGATAACACACACGTATACAACAAATCAAAGCATAGGTCATCATAGAAAATTGTTTATGATAGGTTAAGTTCAACTCGTCTTAACGAACACAGGAAAATTACTCCAAGATCTGACTGCTCTACTTTGACTGATCTAAAAGGATCTGTTGACGTCACTGCTCTGTACTCTTCATTATCCTAGATCTATTGGAGCCACTAGGAGTAACATCTAACGAACAGGGCTCTTGTAATAAACTCCATAACTACTTTAGAAATCGGACGTACTGTGCTGCTGCTAACTTCATACTAATGCGTATCTGTTCGAAAGACTCTCGGCAGAATTTGAAAATGTTTATTGTTATGTTAGGAAATTGTTAGGTGTTGCAGCTAGATAGGGCTAAAAAACGGAAACATTGCAAATTGAACTCATTTTATCGAAACAGAAAGAGAATAAACCAATAAACTGTTGTCAAGGCTCGTAATAAAAATTATGGAGGAACTGTTTCGAAAAACTTTAATTATTAAAACTTAGTTATAAAATCAACTTAATTATCAATTATAACTCTTTTTGCAGTTCTTACATACCAGATTTAAGAAAAATTACATTGTGCATAACTGACCATTATGGACATTATGAAAAATTTTATGATAACCACACGAAACTAAATAGTACTATGTACTTAATTGTTACTTTAGTGAAATTAATTAATATAAATATTTTTTTAAACATATTTAATAATCTACAGGTTTAAGGGTAACAAATCTGGAAATAATGAAAACAATAATAATTGTACTTATAACAACAGTGCCTGCAAACATATAAAATGTTTCCTCTGTAAAAACATCTGTAAATGCAGGAATTTGATTGTATATATGCTGAATTAGCCTTAACTGATAATCCTTTTCTTTCTTTACCATACTAGCGTTTCTTTTGTTTTTTCCCTAATAATTTTGTAGTAAACTCCTGAACAACGGGCTCTTGTACAACTTTGGAACTTATGTGTTTATTTATTTGTTGTAAAATTTCTAAAACAGTCAAATTGTTTGCTAAAAACTTTATACTCCTGCAACAAAAGGTAATTATTATTGTTTCATTTCTCATGCTATTTTTGACATCTTACCCTGAATCCTGTAAATCTATGTTGATTTGAGGTTCACTTCGGTCACAGACAACATTGGTTTTAATTACACAATTTAAGTTTGTTTCAACAACTTTGGGCGAAGATATATGAAAGAGGAAGTCCCTAGAAAAATCTCTTATTAGGGCATAACATAAATTTATAAATATACGCTTGCGCCAGCTATATTTAGAAATCAATAGATATTTAAGGTTATATTTACCTCGCTGTTATAGCATTTGGATGAAACGGATCAAATTGTACTTGAATTCTTCTTACTGGTTTTAAATTAATTAACTTTAATTGTTTGGTGATTGCACTTATTACCCCTGCTGATCTTTTAAATGTTCCACTAAAGTATATTGACATTTTAAATTTTTAAACAGTTTAAATGACAAAACGACAAAACACAAAACATAATACAAAATTAGTTCTGTTACTTCTGTTGTAATGTTTTAAAGTTTTCTGGTCTGCTTCTTCCTTTCTCTTATGACCTTCTTCCATAGATATAAATAATATAGATGGATCGGTTGAATGTCCAAAACAAACAACCAAGAAATGGCGTTGTTTTTGTTCGAGAATGCAAGTGCGCCATTATTCCATGGCTAGAAATTGGCCTCAATGATTTGGGATCGAGGGGGATTATCCCTCTTTATCCTGCCTCATCTCGTGTAGGCCTGGACAACCTTCGTAGGTGGGCCCCATCCGTCGTCTACCCCGACCGCAAATGCGGCCGGTGTAGGCGCTTTGTGGGACCTCCTTTTGTCCTGGCTGGGCCCCGCCGGCTAGGGCCCTTTCTTCTGGCGCTCTTCTTGCTTCGCCGGCTCGTCTGTGTAAACCCCGGGGGTAGTGTCATGTTTATGTGTGGTATGGTTGGGTAGGGTAGTGCGGCTATGCAGCCTGGGATGCGCTTTGCTAAGGTGGCCCTTAGGCTAGCGCGGGAGGGGAGGGTTAAGGAGGGTATGGGGGGTGTGTATGTGTGTGTGTGTGTCGTTGTCTTCGTTTCTTGATCCTGGCTGTCTCTGAAACAGAAAAGGTTAGCGGGCAGGGGGGGGGTCATTGGGGTGGTCACCCAGGGTCAAAAAGTTGGTGTCTAGGTCTTTTGTGTTTGTCGGTCACGTCGGGTACGTAGTCAACGGCTTGCCTGAGGAGGGGATTGTCATGTCTAGCGGCTACGTCAAATCGTTTCTCCGCGTTTTGTCTTATTGTCTGTGTAGCGTTTGTGTATTGTAAGTCTCGTAATATGTCAGTGTTTCTTACGTACCAGGGCGCGTCGGTGGCCGTGCGGAGGGCTATGTTTTCCACAGCCTGTAATGACTTTAAGTGGCTTTTTGCCGCGTGACCCCACGCCGTGGAGGCGTAGGTTAGCTGCGGTTGAAGTACCACCTTGATAAGCGTTCGCTTATTCCTTAAACTGAGGGTGTTTCCACCTTTGAGTAAGGGATAGAGCCTAGCCCTGGTGGTCTTCGCTCGCGCCACCGTCTCCTAGAGAATGCAAGTAATAATTTAAAAAATTGATAAAACTGGAAGCTTCCTATTAGATGATTTTAAATTAATATAATAAATGTCGCACTCCTAGTTCTCCAAATAACCAAGGATTTTAAATTACAATAATATTCCTGCAAATTGCGTTTTATTAGTGATATTTCGTTTAACATGTATATAGCGTTTAGCTTTTAAAACACAAAACACACTTCAATAATCTGCGATTAATGAATTGTGAACCCCGTATTATTTGATATTCAACGTCTTTGAAACAGGAAACAAATCTATATGCATACGTAACTATTTTAAGCACTCATATGATTCGCAGCCTAGATAAATGATACGATTCGCGGATAGTCATTATTAATAAAATATCCTGGACATCTCTGTTCTATGGAATTAGAAGTGCAGCGGGGTTCCTAAATTTCATAGAGAAATTGCTGCTTTGCACTTTTACATCCAAAATAAATAGTGACATATTTATTTGAAGAAAATTTGAAAGACAGAAGATAATATAGGTAATGTAACAATGATTAAATATATTTACAACAGAAAAAAACAGAAAATATAGGTTATACAGAACTAAACAAATACCATATAGCGTTCTACGACCAAATTGATATGTAAATATTATAATTTTGTATCTAAACTATATATTTTATCATTTTTTACTTCGTAATCATTGACATCATAAAACAAATGTCAACATGTGATTTGATTTTTAATTAGTATAATAGATGTCGCATCCTACGCATTCATAGACCACTGACAGTCGTCAATTTCTAAGGTCTTATATGATTATGGTTATAGAAAGCTGAATATAAATACGTGTTTGTGCACTGCACATATTTAGGTATGTGGTTTTGTGGAGTAAAGTGTAAAGTGTAAAGCTGTAGTGGGACAAAGAGAGAGAGAGACTAGAGAAGTAAGAATAAGAACAGAAAAATGCACGTTGATTTGAGTTTTGAGTTGCGAGTTCCTGTGTTCGTCACCGCACCCAAACGTGATGACTGATGTCTTTTTATGACCGGAAGTGGAGTGAGGGTTAATTAATATGCAAGAAGTTCATTCAATCGGATCGAAAATGATAGTGGAATGGTTGTTCATTATACCTTAAACTGTATCGAACTGTTTTGTCCTATTAAGTAAGATTTTAATTGTATTTTGTGCCTCTATCAAATCTTCCGAAAGAAATAATTGCCCTTGTTACAAGAATGGATGAGGGAACATTAAATGATTTATTAGAGTGTTCGGTATGTCTGGATCGACTGGATACTTCGAGTAAAGTGCTTCCCTGTCAACACACTTTTTGTAAGAAATGTCTGGACGAAATCGTGCAAAAACACAAAGAATTGCGATGTCCGGAATGTCGTGTTTTGGTGCAAATCAAAGTGGAGGATTTGCCTCCAAACGTGCTCTTAATGAGAATTTTGGAGGGTATGAGGAATGCCATTCCAAAAAAGGTACATCGTTCAAATAGGGGTTCTCCAAATCTGACTCCAGCACCTATTGTTAATACGACTCCCATTCATCAGCAACATGGTACACCTGATCATCGAATTAATTCTAATAAACAGAATTCTCTACATTTGATTCCACATCAGCCGTATGCAAAAGCAATGTACGACTATGCGTCAAAAGAAGCGGGGTAAGTTAATAATTGGCTTAAATTAGTCTAGAGTGTATTCTAAAATAATCTTTGGAAAATACGTATTGTCTTAAAATTGAATTCAAACTAAATGGTAGGAAATAATATATTATTATGTCCCACTGATTTATTTTATTGTAGGTTCATATTTTATCAATTTATTTGACCTTTTTTAAAGAACAAATAAAGTAATATTATTGATGAATTTTTCAGTATACCTACCTATACAACTCTGCACAGATGCAAAGTCACATCTCCTAGCATACATCATTATTGCTATGTATAGGATATTAATGCATGGTATTGTAATTAAATCAATGTCAGCAATGTACTGCTCCTATATATTAAATTAAAAATAATTAAATTTTAGAGCATTGCAAACATTTTTGTGTAATAGACTTTGGTATCGATAAACATTGAAATGCTTGATATTAGATCTGCCAGATTTGTGAGAATCATTTATTCAAGCTTCTCATCATTCAAAAATCTGTATAACTAACACTGGTAAATGTTACATTAGAATTAAAGATATTTCACAATAAGTATTTATCGTTATTTAGATAATAATAATTGATTTTTGTCTGTGATATACTGCTAACATTGTTAAGATTTGTGGACAGTAACAGCGCATTTTACAAAAAAAATTTAAAAGGTACAAAAGTTTTCTTTGGAAACGGTCTATCAAAATTTGTAACAGATTTTTCTTACTGTCAAATAACTCATTTTTTTATAGTTGTAACCTCTCAGACTCTAAGGAAAATACTAAATTTGATGTCCATCTCGTCAGTGAGTCTTGAGTAATTGATAAAAAAAATGTTTTTTATTCCCAATTTTTTAAAGATCATAGAGCCTTTAGGAATTGTTTTATAAAATATTGTTCCTGTTGTTTCTTTAAACGATAGGAATGAGCCCTGTAAGTTTGTTGCAACTTATCTGTTACACTCTTTATAGGTACATGAGAAAAGGTGTTTGGTTCTTCGAAGAGCCTCTGGGAAAACGTAACCACAATTAATAGAGATAGAGGTTTAATTTAAAATTATTTATTATACCTAGATACGTTATCTCAACCAGTATTAATAGAAACCACTGTTTTGTTAGTCGGATGAATTCTTAAAAAACAGGATATCCTCTGTTGGTTGCAGAGGGTGTAGAAATGTGTGTTCTTTATAAATAAATTATTATCAAAATTAAATGAATAATGTCATAATAATGCTAACAACTATTAGAAATACACATTTTATTATTGGCTGTCTTAAGTTTCTAAGATTCTATCAAATAAAGTCAAACAATGTTCTTTGATACCAAATATATATTTATGTAAAAGATATATACAATGACATTACGAGAAACAACTACTCTGTGAACTATATGCCCTGACTAGCATTGAATTATACCAGCAATGTCTACTTTTGTAAAATGATATTTAAAATGTCGCACATTAAAGGAGATCTACAGGAAAGCAAAACACCTTGATCTATTTTCGAAATATCGTGGGAGGTAAATTTTTGAATTTACACCATGTTTGTAATCTTCAATTTTAAATTGATATTCTTCCTAAAAATAACTTGTTTGCATCCAAGAATGTGACCTTTAATTTCATTTACATGAAATTCTGAATAAAAAAATATATAAGTAAGTCACTATATAAGTTACGTTATTTCATATTAGATTTTGATGATAAAAATGTTTTGTCATTCTCATAAATTAAGTGACTCATTCAATCAGAATTATCAATAAATAACAATACAATCAGGCATTCATTATTTATTGCCATATTCAAAAATGAATAGTTCATTTAACATTAGATTTAGATTATACAAGTATATTTTTTTGGATATAACTTGTATATTATTATATTCCTTTCATTACATTCAGAAATCGAACCTATGCCATCGTATCTACTAATTGTCCATGTCCTTCAGAAATATCAAAAAACCATCAAAAGTGTCAAGTGCAACAGCGACGTAGTTTCGAAGAATTTATAATTATAGTAATTTTGTGTTTTTCCTAGAAATAATTTCAAATTACTATTACAGTAGAACACCAAATGGATACTATACAAAAATATGTTCTTATTTCAAGTCACCTTGTTACCTTTTTCAGATGAATACAGGATATCATTCCATAAATAAAGTGTCCAGATATCAAATTATTTATTTTAAATAATAATTGAAGCAATTACCAAATCAAATTTTATTTACATGATTTTAATTGTTTTCTGCAACTTGAAATAAACCATAACATTCTGAACATCGAATTCACTATTAAAGTTTCACCAGTCATTGCACATTGTATTATTAATATAATTTTTTAGGGATTTGAGCTTCAAACGAGGAGACATAATAATCTTACGTAAAAGAATAGATAGCCATTGGTATCAAGGTGAATGTGCTGGAAAGCAAGGAGTTTTTCCACTAAGTTATGTTCAGGTATTTATTTTTTATTGGAATAAGTATTCTCATTTGCAGTCTTATATTGGTACTAGTAATCCAAAAAAAATTTTTCTAGGTTATTACCCCATTACCTAGCCACATCCCTCAGTGCAAAGCTTTATACGATTTCCGCATGACTAATGACGAGGAAGAGGGTTGCTTGGCATTTAACAAGAATGACATTATCAACGTCATCCGACGAGTGGACGAAAATTGGGCCGAGGGAAAACTGGACGGTAGAATAGGAATTTTCCCGCTGGCTTTCGTAGAAATGAACAACCTGGCCAGATCTCTAATGAAACTGTCCTCAAAGTAAGTAGATGTTTATTTATTTTTAAATTGTTTATATTAACTGGTATATAAGTTTTGGTAACACTAAAGTCAAATAAACGATCAGAAATAGAGTCTATATTTAAATCAAGGTATTTCGTTTAGTACCTTGGAGTATTTTATCTTATTTCACAACAGGTTTATTGGGATAAGTGATACGGAGGCATTTTAATCTCTATTGAGTAAAATATCAGTTATTTGATGAGTTTAATCTAAAACACAGTAGTTACAAAAATCTGATTTATTATTAGCAATAGATAAAAAGAGAATCATTCTATTGTTATTTATGAAGAGCATGTTATGCTACAAACTGTTTTATCCTACACTTTATAAATAGAATAAAAATACCTATTTCTGTTTTCTACTCATGTGGTATCAGTACAAGTATTTTTATTTCAAAGTAACTAGGGTTGCCAATAATTTTATTTTGACCCAAACACTTCGGATTTGGTAATCAATCTTTAAATTTTAAATAAAGTAGAAATAAAATTTGCTTTTTACCACCAGTCATCCCGAGCGATTCACAGAGATGATAAAGTCGACTCGTCAATATGGTAATCTCAAAATAGAATTTATTGGCTAATTTTTATAGATGAAAATACTTATAATATACATTGAAGCAGATAAATATTATTTTGTTTTATAAATATTATAATTTATCAATATAATCTTCATGTTTTATTTTTTATGTTTACAAAAAAGATATTTGTCNATTTACACAAGTAGACCCAATATTTCCAAATTATGTTCTTTCATCGGTTCAACGAATCCATCCATTCTTATCTCGGTTATTCTGGAAAATAAACTCTTAGCGTCAGTCTCTTGTTTCCAAAAGATATGTTTGCTCTCTACGAATGATTTATGCTTCCTATGACCATAACATGCCGACCTTCGAGGTCTTTCTTTCTTTTTTCTTTTTGTTTCATAAATATTATAATTTATCAATATAATCTTCATGTTTTATTTTTTATGTTTACAAAAAAGATATTTGTCTTTTTTTATCAGGGTTATTATAAAATTATAATTTTCATGTGAAAATTATTTGAAATAATATTTCCTCAAATCGGCATCGAACCCATGTTGACAACTCTAAAAGTAACAGATAATTTATTTCAAATGAATGATATTTTAATAATTTCTTCAATATTTCATTTTATAGAAAAAACTATTTTGTTAATATCAGATTTTGAAATTGTATAAAATTGTATGTATACTTTTGATAATATTCTTTTTACCAAAAACGGAAGAAATATAAACCCAAATAAATAATGTGTAGAAATTCAGTTTAAGAAAACAATACGATTTATTGTTTAAAGTTATTCATAAAATGACACTGTCTTCCTTATCTACAGTTAGTTTTGTATTTTCTTCGATGTGGTATGCAATATTTATAAAGTTTGCTACTCAATTTATATTACAATTATTTAGAAGTTTGAAATTCTGAATTTTGTTTAACTGATTATATGAAAAAATATCAAAAATCAACTTTCGTGAGTTTTTAAAGTTCTTGAATCAACTTAATTACAATGATAGCATTATTATTCATGTCATAATATTTTATTTTATGATTTTCTTTTTCAAACTGTTTGAGATTTGCTTCCAAGTTAGAGGATTAAAAATTCAATGAAATAAGGTAATTTCTTATTTGTCTGTGGTACACTCACATTTTATGAGATTGTGAAAGATAAAATTCTGAGAAAAAAATAATTATATTTATAAATATCTTCTAAACTCTAAACAATTGAAGATATTGGAAAGAAATTTAATTGTTTAGTTTAGATAATTATTACAAACCGACTTCTCTATCGACTTACTTTTTAACAAATTTCTTGTCAAAGAGCATAAAATGACTTTCTTTTATGAAAATTGAAAAATAAACTGTAAAATTAATTTGAATCAGCCGAATATCGTTAAGATAAAGTAGAACTGCTATTACTACCGCATTATTACAGCGCCCAACCAGGTCCCTCCCGTTTGGCACCTCCCACCCCTACTACTGAAGATAGTTCGCCGCTAATACTCACGGATCACTCCAGAAATGTCGTGACACAGCAGCAAATTCCCCAAACCGTTGTGCCTCATTCCCAGGCATCTGTACAGCAAGGCAACTTGGTGACGTCCGATTCAAGTTCAACCGTAAGTTCGGGGAGTTCTTCTACTACTACTCCAAACATCTCGTCGAGTAATACCTCGTCCACGTCTAGTACGGCCCCGTCTTCCCCGGCCTCACCACCGCCAAGAAGCCAGCCTTTGCCACCGAAAAATATAGCGCAGTAAGTAGCTTGAACTAACATAAAATAGGAAGTTATATGATTGTTTGAGTAATTTTTGAGTTTGAGTAAATTTTGAATTAGTCATATTACTGAACTCTAGTGAATTAAAACATGGTGTTAGTTCCACATTTTTAAAATTCCGGTTGATTTACTGATTTTTCCGAACTGATATTTCAAAATTCTGTGGTTTTTGAAAATTTTTTGTAATTTAGGATTTTGTTCATTTAATCTGCAAATATGTCCAAAACTATGAACTTTAGAGTTTACTTACACGACATCTGTGGATGTCGGTGTTAAAGACCTCTGGGGTTTTTGTACCCTTGTTCAATAAAACTTTAAACCTGTGCTTAGGAAACCGGACATTCTTCTGAACTCTAACAAATGCAGCACTCCACAACGCTCCCCCCAGCCGCAGAATTCTCATTCGTTGGACGGCCACAGTTCCTCCCACCAACAGAATAAGGAAAAACGTCACAGTTTCACCAGTTTGACACCGGCCCATCACGGCTCAACTAACCACAATCGCCATTCGGCTGAGATCGTGGCCAGCGAAGCTCATAATAATTCCTCCAGTCACTCTCAACCACCAGAAAGAAATAGGAGAAACGGTCATCCTCAGGGTGTTCCAGAATTGGTGTTACCCGCCACTTACATAGCTTTGTATGCTTACAAGCCGCAAAAACCGGATGAGTTAGAGCTGCGGAAAGGGGGTATATACATGGTTACTGAACGGTAAGTTAGCTATGATGTTGTTAATAAGATTTAAGGTCTCTGCGTAACAGGGTTGACCCCCATTTTTTTTTATTAATTTTTTTTAAGGGATTCGCTTAAATATTTAACATATATTTCATAATTTTTTGATTTCTCGTTGTTTAATGTAAAAAAGGAATACAAAATAATTAAGTAGTGTCTTTCACAATTCATCATATGTTCAGGTGCAATACGAGGGTTGCCATTTATATTTCGGAAATAGAGAACTGAAAAGAAATCATTGTATATGGATGGCTTTATTGTTTTTCGAAATATTCTCCATGAAGATCAATACGCCTTTGCATGTGCTTGTCCGTCCATTTCAGAAATATAAAAGGAAATCATCGTAGATAGGTCGTAAGATATATCTTTAAATGTAAGATATCGCTTAGCTAGTTTGTTTTCTGATTGAATTCACTTTCTAGTTTGATTTATCTCTTTTTACAGTTGCCAAGACGGCTGGTTCAAAGGCACATCCAACAGAACGCAGAAGTGCGGCGTTTTCCCTGGCAATTACGTCACTTTGGCGAGGGGCGGGCCCAACCTCCACTCGTCCTCCTCCAAGGACGGTTCAGGTGACTCCAAGCTTCCCGTAAGTTTCACACGGAGTGGCAAAGGCGTGTCGTCCTCCCGCACCGCTTGCAACCCTCCAGAGCTGCCACCTCGCTCGATAAGTCCCGCTACCACCGGCAATACTATCTCGTCCAGCTGGCATGGGCAGCAAGACAACGCCGCTGTGCCGCTGGGACGCAGTAGTAGCGCCATCATGTCTTGCGTTAATAATGCACACATAACTGTGGGTAGCGCCACCATCGCTAAAGCTTCTGATAAGGTTGGTGTGACTTTTCTTATAGTTGCGTTCGGTATTTTGATGTTTTGTTTGTGGATTCTTGCGTAAGCTGTGTTGGGTTTGTAAATTTTGATACTGTTTTCTACGTAGACCGGTATTGTATTGGGTATTATGTAAAATATTAAGTATGATTTTCATTCATTTTTTTTTTTAGTAAGGTACTTACATTTGAATGAAGTTCAAATAATGATTTGATCTACTAAAAATAGTCTTACTGCGTGTACCAATTAGAGATGCACGGTACGTTACGATTTTCCTGAGTACCGTTTTTTTTTTTCATTCCGATACTCGATATTCCGATATTTCGTTTTATGTTTTATCTATTTATTTTTTTTTAATTTCATTTGTTTTTTTACTTATTGTGTTACTGGCTTGTACACCTATAAATTAGGATACCCTGTATATGAATTCCATTATAAAAAAAAATAGACAATTGATTTGTCTCTAGTGTTTTTTTCAACAAAAAAAATTACCTGACCCTTTATCTAATTTACTTACGGACACACTGTTTATAAAATTCAACGGGATAAAAAATTTGTTTTTATTTCGTATCTAGAGATTGACATTTGTGTGTCAAGTCAGTGGCGTTACTAAGAAATAAAATGAATAACTTAAATATTTTAAATTAAAATAAGTAAAATAACTTACAGTCTTTCCGAAGTCAGTTGAACATGTATTAAAAAAACCGAGCAATAAAATTTAATGACTTTCATAGGCTAGGTGTCTCTAAAAAAGTTTTCTGCTAAAAGTAAAAAATAATTGATATATAATGTGTAGAAAATTTCTATTATATATTCATTTGGCCAACAACATATTTTAATTATTTATGTCCTCAAACAATTTTATTATATCGATGGTAAGTTTTGGTTTTGACATATCAAAAAAACATTTACATTTTCATTAAAATATATTACTACTTGGCAAGAACCAACGGGCATGGCTAAAGTTGATAACTTATTTTCTTTATATAAATTATAAATTGTCCGCCGAATTACGTCTCTCGTCATGTCATCGATATTTCTAAATTTTTATTTGCACTCTCTTTACGCAATGATCTATAACACCATGTCTAATAACTCGAAAAATTGTGGACACTGGAACTTTACTTAATATGTGAATTCTATTTATAATTTCATTATATGATTTTTCATTTTCTTCCATGTAGAGTTATAAATCTGTTTCATCAACAACCAGTTCTACTAATTCAACATTGTCTAGCGGTATTTCATTTTGTTCTGTTTCAAAAGGTCTCCAAAATGCCATGCTGTAATAATATTAGTAAACAAAATATCCCTTTTACTTTTCCCTTTTGCAATTATAATATAAATGATTAATAGAAGGTGCCTATAATAAATTAAAATTACCTAAATCACTCCAAATTCTGCGTTGCTGCACTGCACTGCCGGCAATTTGTCGACAACTAAAATTTATGACCCAGTCACCCAGTGTGGCTCTGTATGTACGATGTTTGCCCGCACACGCATTCTTCAACTGGGCATATAAATTTCTACGTTTAGTTTATCGGTATGGCTAAATAAATATGGGAACAAGTTTTTCAATGCCAAGTTGCTGCGTAGCGACCAAGCAAGCCTGGTACATACTGTGTAACTGTTTAATCTTGTTTAACTTGTGTCTTTTAAAGTGATAGGAAATCCATCCGACAAAATCGTTTTAGAAACTTGATATTCTTATGCCGTTTCAATGCCCAAGATAAACTGACAAACGAATTGAACCATGAACCATACAAACCTCAGAACCCTCACTACCGTGATGTCTTATTTACGCACTGAAATGTCAAACTCTAGTTTTATTATCCAATTACAGTTATAACCTTAATAGTATAATAATAATATAATAATTGACAACCAATGCAGCATCATATTTTATGAATCCAACAATTGTTTAGTTTTTGAGATTCATGACATTGTGTTCGTCTGTGTTTGTGTGATATTTCAATTTTTTATGTATGGGTGTGATCGTGATAATGTTATTGTGTAAAAATAAAACTTTGATTAAGAAAAGACAAAAACATAAATGTAAGTTTTTTTATCTTATCGAAATATTAAAATTATTATATTTAATTACAAGCATTCCAAATTTAAGATACAAGAGTAAATCGTATATTCCAGATTCATACTTTTTTCCTACAGTTTGGTGAAAACATTTTTGTCTTATTTATTAAGGTTTTTCTGATTTGGAATTGACAAACAAATATTCATAAAAAAAATTAATATAAGTTTATTAATATGAAGAAAATCCTCAAAAAAAATTATGAGTAGTTTGGATACCTAAGAGACGACATATATTAATAAAATAATTTTTCACGATTTTGTACGAAGTCTTATGAGAATGCAGATTTTTTTGGTCTTTCCACTTAGAAGGCGCAACAATTAACGAACAGTTTCCACAGCAGCTTGTATAAATAGGAAACCAATATCTAAGGAACCGTATGACAGCTCGTAGAAATCGATTAGGTACTTGTAAGATACATAATTTATAAAAATTCTCCTTCAAACTGCTGTCGTTAACTAACTTAACCTCCATATGCGTGATAGCGGCAACGCCGCGGTTCTCGACGTAGCGTCTTATTTGAAATTCTCAGGTGTGACATATGATGTATATTTCAAGCATAGGCATTCAAACAAACAGAATGATCGAACGCGAGCGAATGAACGCCGAGCCCTGCCTGCCAGCCAAGTGCAACGTTGCCAAATCTAAAGGCTTACTACTTTAATCACTAGCGAATCTTCAGAAACTCTCGTTAGACTTTATACGTGCCCCCGTACCCGATAAACCTCCTTAAGTTCTATCACTTTCCTAAAAATTTCCTTCCTACCATATCTGTAACACCCTAGATTGCTTGTGTTATTTTGCACATTGCAAAATTGTAACAAAAAGTTCCCACATCTTTTTTGCCATAAACGATTTGCTCTCGAATCTTTAAGCACGTGGTTAAAAACATTAAAATATTTCGTTAAACAAATTTAAGATGCTGACATCCTTGTTTAAATAGTATTTTTGTCCAATTTGTTTTGGGATTTTTTTTTAAGAAAGTGTTTGCATTATGTCGTAGGATATTTGAATTCATTTTTGATCCTTAAAGCCTGCTTATTAATTTTTTTGCTCTTGTCTAAAAAAAAAAAATTGTTAGTGATTTTGCCCTCTTCCTTCTTTCTAAATCATCTATGACAGTGGTATTCAACCAGGGGTACGCGAAGACATCTTAAAATAGGTAGGTATACAGGGTGTCCCGTAAAGTATGTTACAAACTTTGGATGATGATAGTACATAAAAAAATATGACTAAAAACTCTAATAAACATAACCTCTTAAACGCACCGTTTTGAAGTTATAGGCCTTAAAAGGTGCAACTACAAAAGTAGTTTTTGTGACGTAACTCTTTGTTGGAAAAAGAAAACATAATGAAATTTTCAAGGACTAGTCAGCTTTAGGAAGCGAATAAATGATGTGGATATTAATAAAATTGAGAAAGCGGAAGGGTGTTTTTTTATCACCCTGTATCCTATTTTTTGCTAAAAAAAATTTTTCTGCAAAGGTACAGCAAGTATCATAAGATTCTTAGAAAGACCATTAAATTTAGAAATTTTTTTGTCTCTTGCATTTTTTATGTAAAATGATTAGTTTTCTAATAAATTTACAAAATGAAAAAGGAGTTTACTCACCGCTAGGTGTTAAATTTGACGTATTCAAAAAGTAGACGCCTGTCACTTTTAACATAGTTGACATTTGTTACCATATTTTAATCGTGTCTGTTGACGAATTTGTGAGTACAACGGCGGATAACAATCGTTTTACTAATCAAGAATATGCCGAAATGCATTTTATTTATGGATTATGTAATGGAAATGCAACAGCTGCTCGAAGAACATACATAGAACGTTATCCGCAGAGACGTCAGCCGTCTACACAATTATTTACTCGGATTCACAGACGGATTATTGAAACTGGTAGTGTGGTACCCCGTTACATACATTGTGGTAGAATTGCTAGAAGACTACCCGCGCAAGATGAACAAATTTTGAGATCTTTTGAACAAAATCCGGGAGAAAGTGTGCGAAGGGCAGCTAATCAGTTACAGCTTTCCAGAATGTCAGTTTGGCGTGTTTTGAAGGAAAACGGCCTTTANACCTCCTTAAATATTTTACACTCTTTTTTAACACCCTGTATTTATAACACTATTATTGAAGTTTTATGACAGGTAAAACACATTTTTATCGTATACATCATAAAAAACTATGGTTTTGTAACAAAAATATTTTTCGATGTTCGTACTTTTCTTTTTATCTCTAGTAAAAACAAAATCGAGAAGCACTGGCATTAATAATGATAATAACAATAATATTTGTTCATTTTAAATATTTTTTAATGTATTTTAGCACTTATAGGTATTAAAACGAATTTGGCTTTTATGACAACAATAAATAAACAATGATTGTCAAGAAAATGATTTCATTAATAAAATTATACAATTAATTAATTAATATTGTTTGAGATTTCAGAAAAAATACCTCGTATAATGCTTGTTGGCCTCGGCTAAACAATTTGCATTTTCGCCCAGGAATGTATTGCTGTTACTAGGTATACAATATACTATTGTCAGTATTAATGGCGGAGTTGGTAAAAAAAGTATATTAAAACGTTTTTGATTAAAAGAGAAATATTGATAAAAAATCAATACCACTAATATGCCAGTTCGTGAAATATTCTAGTTATACATCATTCAAGATAATTGTGTTGTAATGTTTTATTTTCGAATTCTGCTTCTCTAAAAGGCTAAACCAGTGGCGTGTACCTTTATAATAATTGCTTTTGATATTTTTAATTATCTGTTACCATGTAATGATGATATGTTGGATTTGAGACATTAAAACTATACTATGCATTTAGATGACAATTCTTCTGTTGTATTGTATATTAATCTTGGAAGTGACACAAAATTGGTTACAATAATTATACGAAAGAATTTTTTATAATAAATTAAATTCAATTTTAAAGCCACTCAAAACAAACTTTAAATCTGAAGATCCATAGATAAGCCTTTAACGACTATAAAGCGGTAAGTAAGTTAATCTACTTTTTGTATTTGCGACTTTAACAACAACAAAAAATGGCAAGTCAGAAGATAGTAAAGACAAAAACTGAGAAGGTCTAAATCAAAATATTTCTGGATTCAGTTTATTCAACTTAAAGAGTATCTATTAAAAATATGTAAAGGCTAATTTTGTTATAGAATGATATTATGTTCACTTAAAATATGCTTTAACATAAAGGAGACTTTAACTAAAGGATTTTTCCGTGACAGGTACGAAATTAAGCTTCAGTAAATGACCAATAAGTTTATTTACTCGTAGAACTCTAGACCTGTACATATACAGGGTAGGAAAGTACCGATGGTCTATCTGAAGTTACGTGAGAGCGATAAAGTAAGCCATAGAAATCCATGTGATAGACAAGGATGGCTATAATGAAGGCGTCTAATAGTTAACGCCCATTTCGCCCTTCCACAAATAAGAAGTGGATCTTATTTGTGGAAGGGCGAAATGAGCGTTGACTATTAGACGACTTCATTATAGCCATCCTTCTCTATCGCATGGATTTCTATGGCTTACTTTATCGCTCTCACGTAACTTCTGATAGACCATCGGTACTTTCCTACACTGTAGAGATGAAAAAAAAATAATAATTAAATCAATATACCACAGTATTATATAATTTTTTTTCATTCATTTAAAAAATAAAAACTGCAACTAACTTAATCCAGAAACCTTATTTTCTCACTATGCCATGTTCAGCCATTGGTGAATCTATCTAAATTTGAATATTTTTATATTGAGCACTAGAATAAATAAAAGAAAATCGTACCACTCTAACGACGAGTAAAACTAATGTGTATCTACTCCAACTCTAAGATTTAAGATAAGGGAATATGTACTCGAATGAAAAATGTTTTCAATAAACAGGGTTGAGTACCACTGGTCTATGCAACCTAGATGATATTAAATTGCTTAACTAAACCAATAAAATGTTCTTTTTGAAATTGTAAAAATCATGAAGTCGGATTTTAATTAAAAAGAAAAAATGTGAACAAATTTTGTCCAAAGGACCCCGCACAAATCTTATGGAAATTGGGTCCCGGTCAAATTCGCTGAATTTTTGATATGTGATAGAGTTCATCATACTGGTCAATTGTCTCAATGGCCACAAAGCTCAAAAATGGATAGTTTGGCCGGTACAGAGCTTTAAAGCTCCGAATATCCTCCACGGATTTATGTATATGCGCAGTGTGTATAGACTTTTGAAATAGCCTATTTCATTTTTTTTATTATCTAGGTTTATATTTTTGAGGTTGCTGAATTCAGATCTGTTGTTAGATTTTCAAAATTGACAGTTGGCAGCTGTCAAATAGCTGTCAATGTGCTATAATAAAGCCAAAAACTTGTTTTTTTATGTTTTATCTTTCTTTTTTTTTAGTTCGATAAGTTCAAAGACGATATCAAATCAATAACAATGACTATCGGCAGCTGTCATTTAGCTGTCAACAATTCTTCAAAGTCCGGTAATAAAGTCAAAAAATTATTTTTTGTTTATAACTTCAAGTTTTTTAGATAAGTGAATATAAATATGATATAAAATTATGTAGTCATCAGCTTACAGCTGTCAACAAGCTGTCAACTAACTGTCAAAATGCAATAATAAAGTCAAAAAGTTACTTTTTTTAAAAAGCTTTAAGTTGCTTAGATCACTGAGTTCAAAAGTGATGTCATAAACTTATATCATGTTTGATTTCTTATCCACAAAGTTAAGCACAAAAAATAAGTTACTTGCTCTATTATTGCATTTTGACAGTTAGTTGACAGCTTGTTGACAGCTGTAAGCTGATGACTACATAATTTTATATCATATTTATATTCACTTATCTAAAAAACTTGAAGTTATAAACAAAAAATAATTTTTTGACTTTATTACCGGACTTTGAAGAATTGTTGACAGCTAAATGACAGCTGCCGATAGTCATTGTTATTGATTTGATATCGTCTTTGAACTTATCGAACTAAAAAAAAAAGAAAGATAAAACATAAAAAAACAAGTTTTTGGCTTTATTATAGCACATTGACAGCTATTTGACAGCTGCCAACTGTCAATTTTGAAAATCTAACAACAGATCTGAATTCAGCAACCTCAAAAATATAAACCTAGATAATAAAAAAAATGAAATAGGCTATTTCAAAAGTCTATACACACTGCGCATATACATAAATCCGTGGAGGATATTCGGAGCTTTAAAGCTCTGTACCGGCCAAACTATCCATTTTTGAGCTTTGTGGCCATTGAGACAATTGACCAGTATGATGAACTCTATCACATATCAAAAATTCAGCGAATTTGACCGGGACCCAATTTCCATAAGATTTGTGCGGGGTCCTTTGAAAACGAAAAGAAAATTATAAGTAGTCTCTCATAATTAAAAATTAATTGAAATATTCTGTGAGATAATTAATGGTTTTTTATGCTGTCTTTAAAAAATTAGCAAATTGTATAATAAATATTAATTTTGCAAGTGTTTCCATTCATGGATCACATTGTAGATATGCTTTGTTAATTTGAAAATTTTCTACTACATTAGTAGTAGAAAATTTAAAACTTTACTTTTGGCATACTTTTTGGGTATTACCATCTTTTGCACCATTTTTGTTTTTTTTTTTATGTAAGAGCTAAAATACCCATTTTGTGTATATAAATAAAAATACTCTAATTTGAGTGTACACTTTGCTTTGTACATGCTATGAATTACACCTAACACTATAAATTAAATGATTGGCTATATATCTATTATAAATAAGTTTATCGATTAATACATTTTTTTATTTTCAATTTTTCCCCCTTCTTTCTATTTTATATTAAACTACTTCTGGCTGCAGTCGAAGGAACGTAAAGAGAAAGGAACAGTCAGCCTTATGCGCAGATTAACCAGCATGAAACGTTCCAAGTCGCCGCCCCCATGTTCTTATTCTATGGACAATCCGGTGTTTGAAGATGGCTCGTTGGGTGTACCAAAATCCGCACCTGCTCATCCGGTGCATGTCAGGTATGAGCCTAATCTAAGCTTTTTGCATGAGTTTAAGCATTTTCAGTTTGCATAATTGCTGCTTAAATTTAATGTTTGCCAATTGATGTTAATAATTTTTTTTTTTAATTCTGTCGCTTTATATTAATATTTTTTTAAATGTTTGCTTTATCTCCACAGATTTTGCACAATTTTTATATGTGTCTTGAATATCTTTTGTTTTGGATGTATTTTGGGAAGAAATACTAATTGAAATTGGAAAATATCAATATGAGGATTTTTCATTGCTGAAAATATCACTAAATACTTTATGGTCCAGATGTAGTGTCAATTCGTTATTTTAATAGAACAAAAACAACTTAAAATATTTAAAAAACAATAACAAAGAAAATTTAATACTTAGCTGTATAAAGTAATATAAAAAATACAGTATAAATAATTTTTGTAAAATTTAAATATCCAACTGCAATATAAAAAAGGCGATGAGATTTTTGCAGCCCTTGCAAATTTAAAAATTTAAGTAAAACTAGGTATTTCCGAAATGGGTGAGGTTGGGTTTAGGGTTGTAATACTTTTCCAAATATACAAGGCATTCTGTTTAAAATAATAAAGTTGACAACTACGTTTGCTGTAATCATAAGGATTGATAGTCCAGTCGGTCCATCTGTTATAGAAGCTGACAAAAGAATTGACTGAAATTGCGCGAGTGAATTATGCTGTTTCGCTCGCATAGTCCCCCCACTCCACACTCTTCGACTCTCTGCTCGATTCCTGTGAAATGTATTAATTTTTTTTGCATCAGAACAGTTAAAATATGTTTCCGATTTAAACAAATTTTCATAGTCATAAAGTCTTTGCTTCAAACAATCAAAATCACTTGATTGTTATTGTACAGTATGTTGTTTTGCCGTAAACTCACTTCAACTTTGAGCTTTCGATATATCTCGATGACGATTCATCGTATCCACAAGATCAAAAGTGGATTTTGTTTGTTAATCCTTCATTTATTTGATCCTATGATTACATTTGAAGAATATGCAAATACAGTAGCTCTAACTCTAAATGTTTATAAGTTTTTCGAAGAAATTTTGAAAAAATTCGGATTGTTGCTAATGTGGATAAAATTGAAAATTTTTAAATGGGGATTGATAGTTGAGACTCCAAAGGGTATGTATAAAAATTGGGAACTCAAAATAATCATTGGTTTTACCATGAGAGCGAATTGAAAAATAAGTATATTCTATATTTTCTTAATTAATAATTGCATTGTGCCAAATCTACCCGGCCGATTTCGATTAAAAAATTTCTGCAATACCACCATATCATGAAATACTCAGAAATAATTTCGTGAAAAGAAATATCTTTTTCACACATTTTTTTCCGGTTCATACTGTATTGCAGTAACAACAACGCACACGAAAATTTCTTTTTAAAGAGAATCTCGAAACGAAACTTTCTCTTTGACTATTTTCTCTAATGTCAATATTATCCGAGTTATACATGAAAGAATGGAGAGAAATGTGCCTTTTTTAATTTTTTTTACATTTTCTTGCTCTAACAATTATGCACAACTTTTTCAGCGGGCGCATATCGCAATTACCATTTTACATAATATTTAGGACTATTTCCAACAAAAATTAGCTTACTCTATGACATATAACTTCCTTTTAAAACAGATACCGACTGGACTACAAGAGCTATACATATTTTCATATTTTAGTTTTTATTCCTTCCTAATAACTAACCAAAAGTTGTTGTAACACACTGTATTGCTTTTAAAAATCCTCTTAGTCTAGAAGTAAATATTAAAATACTTTAGCGGATTATAGAATTTTAGACCATACTAATGGCAAATCTTTGTATTTCCTCAATACCCGAGTACTTTTTTTTAATAAAATAAGCAAAGCAGTTGAGAATTTTGAATTCATCTGTGAATGAAAATGATCTTATTTTACTTTATTTAACTAAAAGAAGTAATCTAATACAATTTTTTTTATTAGTATTGCATTTTTTTAATTTCGGTTTTTGAGATATTTAATAAAATTAAAATGAGAGATAGTTTCAATATAGGGTGTTCCTATTTAACATGGTAACATAGTAAGTAAAAAAATCAATGAATTTCACATTTTTTGTCCTCGGTAGATCCTAATATTAGGAAACTATAACTTCTTTAAAGATGACAATCCTGTCAGCTGCTGTTTTTGAAAAATTATATTAACAAATTTTTTTTTAATTTAAATCTAACGTGGCGATATTCTACATCTCTTGCATGGCGGTATATTCCACATTTTTTGGCACGGCATTCTGCAATTTTTGTTTTTTTTAAATTTATCTGCAAGCATAAACATGTAATCATGTAAAACGCCAAATATTTTTTTTGTAACATGATTGGTACCTAAGAGAAAGTTATAGCAGGCTTAGGATTTCCATTTTTAGAATTTCACTTACCCGAGGTAACTTGACTGAAAAACTGAATAATATAAATTTACATATTCTTTAATGTAAAAATCGTTGATCTGGATTAGTAAATTTGTCATGGTATTGAGGTGCACAATGATCATATTTTGAAAGCAATTAAGTTTGAAAACATATCGAGGGACGATTGCACCTTCCTAAACAAATAACGTCCAGTCTAATTTGCTTTTGCATGTTACGCTATGTGAGTGTTTCCGTCTAGGTCTGGATCTTGTCCGAGTCAACTGCTACAAATTCAGCCCACCGAGCATCATCGTTTGTTTGGATCTACCTCACAACGCCATAAACATAAAGAACGCCCTACTATTCTTACTCACAGTCCCAGGTGTGTTTGCACAGTAAATCCTAATATACAGTGATTGCCGATTTACATTCACAGTACTCATAACTAAAATAGGAAAATATAGTTGAAACAGAAAATAATAATTATGAATTAAATGTATAAAAGATTAGAGTGTATCCAATCTTTTACAGTAGCATCCGTAAACCAGCAATTCCAATAATTTAAAAAGTATATATTATTTAACAATGGTAAAATTATTAATATGAGGAATTAATTATATTATGTTTATTGCTAATCTTTGTGAACTTTTTCTGTCAGATTTGGTAGTTTATTTGCCCTTTGTTAGTGAAATCCAAGATATTTAAATTACTTTTACATGTGTTTATTTATTAACTTATGTGATAACGCCACTCTAGAGGTTGGGAAAAAAAGGTGATTTTCGGGAATTTTCAAGGAAAAATCTATACAAGATATAGTGTCATAAACAAAAAGGCTTTATTGTACATGTTTGTGAATTTTTTCAAACGATTTGGATTCAAAATGGCAGCTGTAGGTGATGGCAAGCAACGACACCTTTTAATCGGAGACCTGTATGGCCGGAAACGTTTCTTAGAAAGAAAAATGTTCAGATATGTACTAAAAGCTAATGAACATCGTATGGAAATAAAAAAATATTTATAATTGTGGATTAAAGTAGTGAACATTAAAAAATGTGTTGAAAACAATGCTTTGTTTAAACCATTTATCAAAAAATCGTTTTTTTTTTTCAAAATTCTATAGTGGTTTGACACCTTAAAAGCTGTATGATATTGACTTATTTCACTAATTTCCCTAATTCAAAATTTGATGGAACATGGTCTCTACACTGTGAAATTTTTAAATTTGCGCATGTGCTACAGTTCCTATGCTCGGCTCATCTGAATTGTCTGGTTTATATAAATTGTGCTGTTACAATTTTGCAGCTGCGATATATTTTCCTAAATTTGTTACTGAGCATTATAACTTTAACCATAATCGTTAATATTTTGCTGTTTGTGCTTGCTTTTGTTTTGCTGTTGTAAATACTTGCATTTTACTAAATATTATACCTACTTCTGTTATGAGCATTTTAACCCAAAAAATTTGAAAAGTATATCCAATTTCAGATTTAAATTACAGTTTAAGAGTTTTCAAATTTTGACTATTACTAAAGCACGTTTCAAATAAAAAATTATAAATCACAAAAATTTATAATTTTTATTTATGGAAATGTGAAGTTTGCGTTTTGTTTAATATTATTTTTGCAATTTTAGACATGCCACATGCTCGAAAATGTAAAAAACAATATTGTGATTTTGTGGAGATGAATTTCCTAGGATATACATTTATTATATGAAGACCTTGAAGACAATGTAATTATTTTTTTAGTAGTATTTTTTCGTAATACAATATTAATGATAAAAAACTATATAGGTACATTACTCAGAAAAAAAATTTGAAGTTCAGTTCACATTAACCGAAAGTTACTGTCAACTTCCTTAGTTTAAATAGTACACCTTATACATTTTTTGCAGACTTCGAGTAAAGACAACATTTTGACTATAAGTTGTATATACCCTCATACTGAATATTTTTTTACATAGAAAAAATAATTTCTTGTTTTGAATTATTATTTATGGGATAGGTCAAAAATGAAGTTCAGAAAAGTTTCCACTATTGCTGGTTTTTCTCAGTTTTCTGCCAAGCCATTCGTCCAACAACAGAAAATAATAGGGGCAAAATAATTTTCATTAAATTGTGCATAAAAATGACTGGAGTTGTGCAAACGTCAAGTAAGCTGAAGGCAATTTAAGGTGTGCAACAGAAATGTATAATGTGTTCTTGCAAATATGTGGAATAAAAAGTACTTTTACGAGGAAAGTGATTATAAAGAAAAATATAACAGTATTTCATCTGCAAGGTAATTTAATCATTAATATGCTATGAACATCAGTCCTGTAACTCTACAATTCTTGATGGGTAATAGCAACCCCGCTTCTCCTGAAGCAGCTTAATAAGAATATGTTACTGAAAATTTAATGAGTATTATTTTTACTCCTATCAATTTTTTGTTGACAATTTCAGAGGAAAATTGGAAAAGTTGGCATCAAGTCCCCTCTGATTTTCACTATGTGAAGAATTTCTCCTTTTTTTTTATACAACGCATTTTCACAGTTTTATTTGCGCTGCTTTTTACTGAGTTGATATAAAAATACACCCAACCACAAATAAAACATTTTTTCTCCGTGCAATTTCAATTTTGTACACTCATATATATCTTTTTTTTTTCATTAAATTTACCGCTAATTTTAGGACTGTAGAAAATCCAGCGGGTAGTTCCGGTTCGAGCCCAGATATCCATCGTCACAGAAAATCTAACTCTCTAGATGCGGGTAACAAGCCTAAGACAGGTGTTCAAACAGTACGGGAAAGGTTTCGCTGCATCGCTCCTTATCCACCTAACAGTGAGTATGAGTTAGAACTTCAAGTTAACGACATAATTTATGTTCATAAGAAACGGGATGACGGTTGGTATAAGGGGACTCAGCAAAGGACGGGAAGAACTGGTCTTTTTCCCGCTAGTTTTGTAGAAAGTTATTGATTTTTATATAGGAAAATGTTAGTTCAATTTTTCGTATATAAAATTTATCCAAATAGTGTTAAATGACTTGAGATCTTCTATGAAAGAAGTCTTTAATACTTTAACTATATGTATAAAATCTGCAATAGGATATCTTCAATAATAAATAAAGAAGTTACTTATAAATATGATCCTTAGGTTAGTACTGGGATTTGTTCGTATTTCTTTTAGAAAATGTTTATTTTTTTATACGAGTATTTTCCCTTTAAATTTTTATATTCTATTTTCTGTAATGAGAGTTAATGTAGAGATGTTTTAAAATCTTATGAGCCTTGACCTTCATATGCGCAGAAACATAATTCCGACCGTCGCCTAAATTATTCTACGTCCTAAAAACATTACACCTATTATTCACAGTCACTCTCGAGCTCTAGTGTAAGCAAGCCTTTGATCCGATTACAAATATCATAATAAAATGCCCTATTCTTTATTATTTTAATTTAAACAATAAAAATATATATAACGAACGTTCGCCAGTTGACTTTATTGATGCCCGAGCACCTTAGTTCATTTCTACTTGTAATGGCTAGTTCTGAGTCAATGTTTTCAGGACATGCTTATTAGAAGAATTATGGGGATACGCCACGCCTTTCGCGCATTTCGCGGCTCATGAGATATTAAAAGACCTCTAACACATCTCTTACTTCGGGTATCGAAGAATTACTGAAATTATCATCAAATAACGTGAATTTACGTTGAATTGAACGTTATTTTTTTCTGAAATTTAATATTTGACATTCAATTTTAATAGCTGCATTCTTTAGGTTGCAAATAATTATTTGTCATTCAGTTGAAGTTGTTTAAATTCATATTTATTTTTATATCAACGGCTACATTCAGAAGACTATTCTACATTATTTGAGTCACGTGATTTAGGGTATTTGCCAATCGGGTGTGCATTTCGTTTAAATTAGATTTCAAATTATATAAAAATCCTAGATCACTTGTCTCGGGGCAGCCGTTCATATTGGAACACCTTCAGCGCTAAGAAAGGCGTACATTTCCTGTCAAATATTTGGTGTAGAGCAATAGTGAATTGAAAAACATCATTTTTACATAATTTTTAATAATAATACTAAAATATTTAAGGAAACGTAATCCACTTTTTAATATATTACAATTTTACCAGATATTTTATTAAACATTTCTTGTTGCAGATAGTTTTAATTTAAGAGTAAAATTCCATGCCTCTTTATATGTGTGACATATTTAGTATATTATGATTATTATGTATTCACTTGATATAAATAAGAAATAATTTTTTATCACAGTATAACTATAATGATTCTACAAATATATATGGCCGTGTTCTTTTATTCCTCGTTTTAATGTGATGAGTTCTATCGTGTATTACGATTGATCCGTTTAAAAAATTCTAATCTCGTATTGGCTCTACGGAATCCATCACATCGAAATGATGAATAAAAGAACACGGCCTATATAATTACTTTTATGACTTGCCAAGTTGCTCTCTACCATACACAAGTTTTCATTAGCCAAATATATATATACATATTTGAAGTGGTATTTTCCCTTTGTATTCCCGAAAGGGAATAAAATAAGTCATTAAATTTATAGTAGCTAGTAATTTGTGGTATATATCAGTAAAAAAGACAGCAGGTGTCATACATTTTTTTAAATACGGGAATCTATATTGATTGTGATAAATCTTCACAGTTAATTTTTTTATTGAAAATGCAGTATACATATGTTAACATAGTGCAAGGATCGAGTGTTACCCTTTCTTCTTTTTATATGAAAATAAATATCCTTGGAAATATCAATTTAAAAAAAAATACGAGGCAGGTGGCCCACATTTTACATTAAAATAAGCTTTGATCAAATAAAAATGATGTAACGGTATAATAACCGTTATGAGATAAACATAATAAAATCGGGAAATTTTTTTTTTTTGTTAAAACGATTTTCTAGGGGTAAAAAGTTGCAGGAAAAAATAAAGAAAGGGCAGTACTTAGTCCCCTAATTTATGTGTATATATAAACAAAATATTTATATTTATTTATATTATTATTTATATAACAAAAATGGTGTTTAAGGAACATAAGTTATAAATACATAGTAAGATGCACTAGAGGTCAAAAATATTGAGATTTATTTTGATAATAACTACAATTTTACTTAAAACGATTAAGTTTAAAAAGTTTAAAAGAAAATATGCTTTTGCAAAATCAAAAAAAAATTATTGCATTCTTTTAATATATCAAATACCGTAAAATGTATGAACTCTAGTCGCAGAATGAAACTTACAAATGAAATTCATCAGAAAACTTACTAGAATATTAAACATTTAATTATATATTCTAATAATTTTTTTGAGAAAGTCAAACTTTAAAATGTCACCTGCACAGGGTAATCCACATAATTCTCTTTTTATTACAGTGTAGTCAGTATTAATTGTACTAAAAAAATATTGTTTTAAATTCACATATATTCCAAAGGATAAAAATTGGAGACATTATTTAATATCAGGTTCAACATTTGTATTATCAATAATTTTGCAAGATAAAAATTTATATTTAACTGCAATATATGACTATACAGCAGGGTTAATCCTCTTTTTTGTGTCACTTTAAATGAACAGAAATTTCTTATAGAAAATTTCTAACTGCTATCTTTAAAATCACAGAACCCCAATCCTTTACAAGTTTTGGTTAAACCATAAACAAACTTTGGTGGTGTGTTTTCTGAAACTATTAGGTTTTAATTTAAGCCATCGGCTCGCTTTTCTTTTTTCAACATTTCCGTGGATTTAAAATATATATCGATGTTACAATTTGTAAATATAATGAATGCCAATAATAATTGTTGTGTGTTTTGTATCTATTAACTTTTAATAAATGCAACTTGTTATAGTAAGTGTATAGAACTAAATGATACTACTGTGTTCATTGTATATTTACTCTATTTATTTTATTTAATGTTTAAAAATTGTTCCTTGTTACCTACAGGAGATTTTAATGGCTTATAGAAACGCATTACTTGTAATGCGCTCTGAAATTTTTCAATTTTCTTTTATGGGTGGCGGACCTTTTCTGGAACATATCATAATTTTCCTTTAGATGTTTTACGTTAGGTAAATTCAAATACAATTTTGGCCATTACATTGTGCAAAGTATTGACTGAAAATTTAACGTTATAATTATTTAAGTTTTATATATTGTACACTAACAAAATGTATCAGTAGTATGAGAATATAATGTGTTTGACTTAAATTTACATGTTTTATTACAAATAAAAAAAATACCTTCTCCCAAACAATAATTGCAAACCAAACATGTCACTATTAATTTAAATTTTCATTTACCTTATTTCTAACATGGTAGGTATAGTGTATCTCCTTTTTAATGTACAGAAATGCTGTTTTCAGTTATGAATATATTTAAATTATATGAAATTTTAAACACTTTAAATTTAAAAAAATTCACTGACATTTTCTTAAACAGTAAATTAAAATTGACAACATTCGTTGCTATTGGTAACAGCTACCAACGCTCAAACGTTATCGATAATATCCTTAGAGCATATCACATACTTCTATCGATAGGATAGATAGATATCGATAGGATAGAAGTATGTGGAGCATATACTACATGGAGAAATCACCGCGTGTTAAAAAGTGTAGAGAGAAAGAGTGATAGTTTGGATCCTCTCTCTCTAATCGTTGAAGAAGGAGTTACGTCAGCCAATCACATGCCCACGCAAGAGAGAACAATAGTACCCAAACCATCTCTTTCTCTCTCTGTCAGTCGTCTACACTACCGCCGTAAGCGTGCTTCCTTCATGTATATGCTCTAAGAATACATTATTTAAAGTATCTGGATGGATACATTTTGTCAATAGATAAAAAATAAAATCCAATCACAATGATAGTAATAACACGAAAAAATATCAGTATTCATTTAAAAATAACATTGTAACTAATATAATTGAGTTAGTAATTGTACCTACACACCATTAGAGTAGATCAAAAGACACAATGTGGTTAATTTGAGAAAGAATTACAAAATACAGCCATCAAAAGCTGTTTTCTTACCAAATTCAAAATATTTTGAACTAAAAGTTAAATAATACATTAATAATACGATCCGTAAAACTTGAATTTCGATTAATCATGTAATCTTAAGCATTTGATGTAATATTTTTCACTTCTTAAACCAAATGAACTTAATTCTACGTTTTAATAGAGGTTTTATTTATGAACTTTTAGTTCGGTGCGTTCTAAACCTTGCAACCAAACACACCTAAAGATATGATCAAAATACATTAAAATTTCAATTATACAAACACATATGAACCTACTGCAATGCTGTAATATTATTGGTAAGCAGATTTAATAGTTTCTGGTAGTATAGACTTCAAAAAATAACAAAATAATTGCAGCAGAACGTGGAATTAAAGTCATTTAAACTATGTAAGACGCTTATAACATTACCATTATGTTAATTTTTACCTAGCACAAATGATAATTTTCTTTAATGCAAGTCGGTAAAAGTTAAATTATATTTATTGACTATTCGGGATTATATCTATTCGGATCGTTGTCTTCTTTCTCCTGCGCATGTCCGATATCCCCACCTAAATATCTCGCGGCATCATGAAAATAAACTTCAGTTTGAGAGAAAGCTTAAATGGGTGAGGGTGTTACTATGAGTTGGGAGTTAAAGATTGGTGATTTAGTTTGGTAAGAAGCCATTAAATTTTTAAAAATTGCCTTGCATAATTTCCAACATATTTAAAATGTATTACATTTTTTTCAGGGCGAAAATGAAAGGATTTTCACCTTGGCCTGCTCGGGTAAGTATATGCCGCCGACTTTCAACCCAACCGTTATTCCCTCCCATCTTGCGCGCGCGTCATCAATTTTACTTTTGTGAACTTAACCTAAACGTTTATTTTGATTTCGTTTATGTTTGGATGTGTGTTACTAGACCAATTTAACGTCTTATTTCGATCTTTTGTTTTCTGTAGATCGTGAAACCTGGCCCCAATGCTCGCAATGTTAAGAAGCCTTCTAAAAAAGGTGCTCATTTCTGGGTTTATTTCTTTGGAACATATAACTAGTAAGTGCAGTAGCTTTGCTAAATTTAACACAAGTAATTTATTCTCTTTTCTTTTTGTAGTGGTTGGATAGAGGAGAATAACATTAAACCATATGATGACTATAAGGAAGAATTTTTAAAGACATACAATACAATACTTTTCAAAAAAGCTGTTGGAGAAATTGAGGATTTTATAGCAAAATTAGAGGTAAGTAATTTAATTTGTTGTAGTAGCACTAATTGAAACAATATAAAAAATTGCTAGTAACTAGACACAGAACCAGAATGCGAGCCATAGAAGTTTTATGTCGTTGCGGAGTGTACTATAATTTGGCAAATGTTGCCATAATTATGATTATATCTGTTTATGATAACTGAAATGCGTAATTGAATAAAAGGACAGATTACTAATGCGTTATACACGATGTCCCATAAGAACATGATCAAAAAGGTACTACAACAATTTTTGGCTCAAAATAAGACAATCTGACCTAACTTCCATTAAGAAGAAATGTGTGGCTCCTCTGCTATTGACTGTCAAAATTCTTGAATAAAAATTATGGTTTCTGTAATATCTGGAGAATGTTACGATGGATTCTAATGAAACTTGTTGTGGATTTGTTTATAAAGAAGACTAATGTTTTGCTGAAGCAACCACGTCCATCCGCCTTGGGCTAGTGGTAAATTATTGAGTGTCTTGGTACAAGAATTACTAGAACCTTTTATTTGATCGCTGGAATCAATTCATTTCTTTTTTATTGATGTATCGGTCCTTTTTCAAGATTTTCGTGCTCTTGGTAAAATGTAGCATTCATAGTTTTTGCGTAAAAAAATTTTTTCAATTTTAAGACAGTCATTATCATTGCTACTCAAATACAACAACTACTCGCTACAATCACTACTATCGTAGTAAGCGATATTTTATAATAAATGAATTGTCAAACTTTTGACGGGGTGGATGTAATAGGGAATGATCCAGAAATGTTGTGGAGGGCTCGGTTCAATTTCAATCGAAGGATGCAGAAAATGGCGGGTATATCGAACATGTCTTGTAGTTCCATCATCATCTATCATATCTATGTAACTATCATCCAGTTTCAATAAAGAGAATGATGTCATTCCTAAGTATGTCTTTACATTTTTTCCGTGTTAACAAAAAATAAATCTAATGAAATAAAATAATATTCAATCCGTCACGTCACAACGGGCTTTAAAATTGTGACCATTTTACTTTCAATATTGATATCCTAGGTAAAAAATTGTCATAATTATTATTAGAGAAAGTCGCTTCTTGTAAAAAGGCAAATTTACTGTGATAAGTCTAAAATTGTCAAGTTGTAACAAAAAAAAACATTTTTTCGCGTAAAAACTATGAATGCTACAAGATTTTACCAAGAGCACGAAAATCTCGAAGGACTGATGCATCAATAAAAAAAAAAATTATTTATTCAAGCAACCAAATAAAATGTTCTGGTAATTTGTGTACCAAGGCATTTAAGAATTTACCACTTGCCCAAGGCGGATGGACGCGATTGCTTCAGCAAAACATGAGTGTAACACAGTCCACAGCAAGTTTCATTAAAATCCATAGTAATATTTTCCAGATATTAAAAAAAAAAACAACTTTTTTCAAGAATTTTGATAGTAGCAGAGGAGTCAGACATTTTTTCTTAATGGTTAGGTCAGATCATCTTTTGAGCCAAAGAATATTTGTTGCAGTAACTTTTTGATCATGTGCTTATGGGATGGGACACCTTGTATATAATATTTTCAAAATAATTTAAATTGTCGAGCACATTCTGGTTTAACAGGAACTGGCACACATGTTTTTTTTTTACATTTAGAGGAAACAAAATATTTATTTATGTTGACAACCACTTAGTCTTCATTACTTTTTCAAACCAAATCTTGTAGCGGACAAATGTTAATAACATTCGAACTCCAATAACATTTCGTCATAAAAATTGTCTAGTGGGCCTAGAAATCGTTCCCCAAAATAAATCGGTACAGATCACGCTTTATTATCAAAATATGATAACTTTAATTTCACAAGCCACCATAATGTTTTTAATCATTAATTTTATAATATTATTTGTTACGAAATAAGTCAAAGTGAGGTCTGCTGTTTGCCCAGAAAGTTTTGACGTTTATAGACCGTCAATATACAAGGGGCATCAACACCCTCAGATCTGACAAATTACGTGTTTATCATTATTAATTTTATTACCCTATTAAAAAAGTTTAAATAACAAATTGCCTTTTTTTAAGGCACATTTTCATAGATTTGTTGACTATGCTGCCCCCTGGTTGTGGTTAGCCTATTATTAAATTTTAACTTATTAATTTTACTTTTCTCAAAATTGTGGTCAATGTCAACAATTAGATGGACCCTCTTGTTGTGAATATCTAACAATTTTAATGTAGACCACATTATAACTCTCCAGTAGACTGCCTATTACTAAAATATTACAATCTGCCGTTGCAAATGGCTAGTACTCCTTTAATAAGGAAGACAACTGCATGATTCGTAACATTTTCAACAATGAAATGTTTCCAGTTAGATAGTGGGATTTTATTATTTTTTGGGCTGTATATCGGTTAACCCATGAGAATTCCACAGACGATGCTTTTTCTTATGAGGATGTCCATTAATGTCACCACTAAAAGAACTATGTGGACTAGGCGGGCTTACCTGTCTGAAAAAATTTAAGACCCATCTTTAGATACACCCATTTTTATAGATACATGCTTGATACCAAAGATTATCAAAATACAAAAAAATATATCTTCAGAAAAAAAAAGATACTACATGATAATTTATACCTAAAAATCCTATATTTGAGTATGCAAAAAAAATATATTAAATAAATTTGTACAAACAAAAATTTAAGAAATCTATTAAAAACTAGATATATTTTTATTAAGGTTGCTTTACCAATGAAATTCGTGAACTTACTGTTTTTCGTCCACATGTAACTTAAGAGTTTGATTGGCACTATGAAACATTTAAAAGTCTATAAAGAAAACTTCAGGACCTATGAGACCTTCCAAATTACCACCCGATAACTTATTTGCCAACGATACATAGAACACTTATATGTAGCAGCAGTTGTTAATTGGGTAATTGTCTGCTTGAAAAAGATGTCTTCCCAGCAGAATATCATTTGAGTATGGCATGGACCAAAGCTCTCTGTATCATCCGCTTCATACCTGTATTAATACTCTTTTCGATCTCGAGTATGTTTGAAGTCATCCAGTTCATTTCAATTAGGACAGGATTGTTTCAGGGTAACTTTCTCTTTTTCTGGTTGAACAGTTTATGGTCGGCTTGTTACATTGTCAGTTTAGAGAGGTAATGTTTCAAGAGACATTATCTTTTTGTCTTCCTGCTATTCTTGCACTTATACAATTAGCTAACCTGTTGGAACACCAAAATATAGGATTTTAAATATCCAAGGATATTAAAGTTAGCCATCTAATACATGGGTGACTTGAAGCAAATAATGAATATCATCTAGAACCAGGTCTCACTTTAGTTGGGGACACCAGTATCTGATTTTTCTAAAGAATTGACTTTATAGTCTTCAAATGAGGTAAATCATTAAGAAATATTTGTAAAATATAAAACATTTAACTAAGACAATCACCTTGAGATGCTGTCTAATTAGCACTGTTATTAGTGTGTAATTTCTTGATAGATTCCGCGTCCTATACTTTGGTAGTGATTGTCAGCTTTGATGTCAGCATTCAGAGAATAGTGTTGAACACTTTAAAAAAGATTTCACTAGATGAGCCTGACAATCTATTATGAACTGAAGAGTAAAAACATTTTAGAATGTACAATTCAATAAACATAGAAATCTAAAAAAAAATTAGATAAACTTGGAACGAATACATTGAAGATGAATTTTTTGAGACAAAACGTCTGAATCTGGTTCGGCCTGAGGCAATACGGTATTATGGGGTCATGAAGCCTTGCAAAATATGTAAAATGTTCAGGTCCATATTTAAAAAAATGAAGTTGATGATGGTCCTGGAAAGACGAAACGTTACATATAAAAATTGATCATGGCATTCAATAGAGGGCAAAAAGTTGCCATGAGAAAATGTTCTTTTTTCAATATCACCTCAAACAAGGCTGAAATGAAATAAAAACAGATTTCCAAAATTTCGTTTTTTTCCAAATATTTCAAAAACTAATGTTAGGTTTAATTTTTTAGAGGCATAATGTTGGTTCTGAGTTATAATATGAAAAAAAATTTTGGACATGTATCAGAAACAAAGACAAACATTCCAAAAAGTTGATAGTTTGTTATATATTAATTAACATATACAGAGTGTTACAATATTCGCGGGCATGGATTCTGGATCCTTTTAAGCTAAATAAGGTGATCAAAAACTGATTGTATGATTTTTAAATCAGACCAATATATTCTTTCTCTACTTTTGATTTAAAAAAAAAACAAGTTAAATAGTTTCCATCATCTGCTGCAATACATGCTTCAGCACGTTATACTATTGTTCGAACAGAATTATGTATCATATCTGGCGTTTTTTCGTTACATTATTTGAAATGTGGCTCTGCAATTCATTTTAAATTGGTCACTGGTATTCTGTAGACCAACATTTTTAGGGAGCCCCATAAGAAAAAATCGCATAGCGTTCTAGGTCTGGAAAACGAGGTGATCAAGCAAATGAACTGAAAATATTGTTGAGGTAGTCACATTCTACCAATTGGCAATAAAATATAGCAAAAAAATGTGCAGCAAACAATGTAAAAGGTGTTAAGCTTTACTATTAGATGTTAATATCAAACTAATGTCCATCACATTCTAAGAAAACATTCAAACAAAATATGCTAGGTGTATCTCTGAAATATTCTATTGTTTTTTAATTATGTACTTCTTTTGAAATCGCAAGAAATATTCCTTCCTAAAACTTTAATATTCATAACTTTTTTAAAATTCAATAGCAAACTGATATATTCCATTGAGATTATTTTTAGGGCCACTTTAGTATGTTATAAGAAACGAAAATTTTGAAAATTCATAAATTATGTCAAATTTCTTTAAAAATTGTTGCAATAGCTTCACATTCCACAATAAATAGAGGGGGCAATATTATTCTAGAAGGCGTTTAAGTCCCTCCAGTCTCCTTTGGCTTCATGCAGGATGAAAGATGTTACCTATTTACCACCACTGAATTCGATAAGCTATCTAAGTGTTTGTCTTATAAATTTCAGAAGGATCCAAACTATGAGCTTGTTCTTCCCTCGGAAAAAGGTAACAGCAGTGATAAAGATGAGAGCGATGAAAAATTCAACAAACTCATATCATCTACACCAAAGAAACCAAAAAAGGTAAGTCTTGTACAATGTTCACATAATATGTATGGTTAATTTCGCGACCAAGTGAGAGTAGAAATGATACTTCCTTAAATATTAATTATTATATTGTAACGAAACTAACCTGGCACTTGTAAGTATTTACTAAATTATATATAAAGTTAGGAATCTGGGGCTGTTAACAGATCTGGACTCAGCTTACTAATGTATGCCACAATAATATAAAATGTACTCAATAGTGACATTAAATACAAAAGTCAATAAAATATGTAAATGGAAAATACTTATATGACGAAGTGTAGAGTTTGCCTTCTGTTTTTAACATATACTCAGCTGCATTATAGAGTATTACAAAAACTTTATCTGAAACATTGGACCATATCAAATTGAAATAGTCGATAACAAAAGACAAAAATTTCAATTGTTTTTTTATTAAAAGGGTCATTTCCTTAAATACATACGCCCTTATAACCTTCAGAATAAGTAGTTTTTGAATGTGTACAAACACATTGACGTTTTTAGTAAACAACGAAAATGAAGATTGGGATGGGACAAGAACCAATTGTTGAGAGACACATCTTCCAAAGTCTAATCATGACCTAAATGACGATATATCACTAGTACAAAAAATTTATTTTCTTTTATGTTCATACAGCAAACAAGGTGTTTTTTTAAATGGCATATTCCCTCTACTTATTATTTAATTGCAGTCAAATTTGACATCTTAAGGATAAAATGACATTGTTAATCTAATGAGAGCAATCTCATTATTTTAGGTCATCATTTTATCAGAATGTATTTTTTTAAAGGAACACCCTGTATATTTTTGCTTGTTGGATTACCATTACCATATCATTTATTACTATTTACCAGTCTTGGTCTAATACATTATGTTTATTGCAAAATTTTGAATGCCTTAATATTAAATAGACCCATTCAAAATGATAATCTGGCAACTGCTCTTATCAAATCGATCATGCTCTATCATCCTTGGATGTCAAATTTGACATTCATCGAACAACCTATAAAAGTTGCTTGGGGAATATTATTAAAAAAATCATCCTCTATCCACAATTGTTTCTAATGTAGAAGTTTTATCTTTATTGTAAAATACCTACCTATACAGTTTTATAGTTTAAAGTTACTGTTATTTAATTAAGTAAAGATGAGTTCGTTACTCATCAGCAAAGATACATGCAAAATATTAAACTGAGTCGTTTATTTCCAAAAGCGGCTAAATCGAGTTATTTTTTACCTCGGGATAAAATGAATTAGTACACAATAATCTGTCAACAAAAATTTTTCTACCATAAAATAATAAGAAATTCATTCATTACAATACGTAAATTGAAAAAGATGTTGAAAAATCTAGGGGAAATTTTTCCAAAAATTGTTTGGATTTAACCGGTTTTGAAAGCAATTTTCATAATCCTTTTTAAATGTTACATTTATTTTTTGAAAAAACCTCATGGCTGACTAGATATTTGGAAAAAATCCGAATTCGGTCAATGGTTTTTGCAGTGTTAATAAGACAGTGTGATCAAATTGTTCATGTATACTTTCATTTTCAAGTTTTATTTTTATTATTATTTTAAAATGTCTTTTTTTATTCTTTCCAACGATGTAATATCTGGTATTGTTATTTTGAAAATAGGGAGAATTACAGCCGTTTTTAACTTTTCAATTGCTTATTGATGGCTGTGGAAACAATCGAAATGATTACTGACAACACTTTTAATTACGCCCCAGTAAAACGAATAAACAGGTGCAAAAATCTATCAAACCATCAAGGTTTTAGGTACTGACATCTACGAAAATACTAACTTTTTTATATATAACTCCACATGTAAATATTTTTATAACATTTACTTGCTTAGTCCTACATATAAAATTGTTTACTTATAAGTACGTGAAAATAATTCTTAAAATATGAGGTTAGGATAACAGCAAACACATTTTTTTAGTTATTATTTTATTTGAGTAAATTTAAATAGTATCAATGAATAAACAGGACATCAAGGATTTTATTTTTGTGCTTGCTTTTGTTCTACACGTTTTACTTTTCAAGATTTCTGTACCTAAAAACGCCAGAAAATTGACTATTTCTCGACCAGGGATATGGCCAGCTTAAGATAAAGTATAAACACGAAAGCTAATAATAAAAAATATATTTTTTAAAAAATATGTTACAAAACTATCTAAAAACATCTTTTTTAATATTAAACCTTTAGAGACACTTTTTCCCATTAGTATTCAATCATCAAACAAAAAATATGTAAGACATTAAAGAACTATTTTAACTCGTCTTTTTTGGGAAAGCCTCTTGTTTAATGTATCTGATCTGAAGTCAGTCCACAATCTCTCAAGCTTAGCACTCTTTATCTCCCGTTTTTGTCACTCATTTCAAGATCTTGGTCTGTTTGTACAATAGCATCTTATTCTAAGTCTATACAAGTAATAGTATGTTCTGGTAGTTATTAGCAACCAGTCAGGAATTTTAGAAGGATTCCATCAAATTGTTTAATTAGGCCTAAACAGCCTTGGCAACTACTGTTTGCTCTGTGAATTAAACTGGTAACGGGAACCTAGAAAATGTCTAAACTTAATAGCTTATAATTCTACTGTATAATATTAACCACCTTAGAAAATTAAAATTTTTCAACTAGTGTACAAAAAAGTAGAAGGGTCCATTTGTGGACCTTAAAAAATTGGCAAGTTAGTCGTCAGTCTTATCAAGTTAAAATTCTTCAATTAAATTATTAAAATCCTTCATATACTTTTACATATGATATAGAGTTTAATGAAAGGAGATTAATAAAATGGTTTGTCTTTTTCTAGCTATTGTATAAATCACACACTAGTCTAACATAACTTTTTTCAATCGGCCATAATGCAGTAGAACAGTAGAACAGTAGTTAATCATTTTCAAGTGAATGTAATTTTGTTCAAAACTGAACACATATTCTTCGCTCTTAAATAAAATTTTGATAAATATCAAAATTCCCCATATCGAAGGAAATTTTGTAACAATTGCAATACTTTGTCACTATTCACATCAAATTTAGAATTTTGTTAAAATGAAAATATACAGGGTGTTTCTGGATTATATGCAAAAATTTTATATACGAATTGGGAATCGGAAAATAAGAAAAAAAAGTTCCTATGGACGTATGTCCGGAAACGATTTGTTAAGGAGTTACAGCCGTTTAAAAATGCCTATCAAAACCAAGTTTTCAATTTTTTTGTCAAATTTGAAAACAGATAAAATCCTGAATTTTGGTACAGATGTTATACTGATCGAGGCCCATCTAGCCAGTATTTTTTCGTTAAAATAATCTTATTTGGAAAGGGTGAAATCAACAACACCCTATATATTTTTCATGACAACATTTGACTCATTAAGATTTCAATTGTTGCAATATATCTTTTGGCGAGACAGATTAATTTAAAAACTTTTTCGTCTTTTTTACTTTTATCGTGAAATAAGTTTTTGAGTAAAAATATAAAATTTGTAACAGTGTTCCACATTAAATAGATATCATAATTCCTTAATGGCATAGTAGGCTGCTGTCAATTCTGATTGTCGTTGACATTAATTAATTTTGGCATTGTTACTTGTTTTATTTCTATGGATGGAAATTTGAGAAAAAAATTTAAAACTCGATTTTGACTGCCATTTTTAAACGGCTGTAACTCCTTAACGATTGTTTCCGGACATACATCCATAGGAACTTTTTTCTTATTTTCCGATTCCCAATTCGTATTTAAAATTTTTGCATATAATCCTGAAACACCCTGTATATAGGGTTATAAATGGCAAATTAAAAGAAATTAATCTTTTTATTTTTTGTTTCATGTTCAGACACCACTCAAAAGGGTAAATTCAGAGTCTAGCGCTGGAAGTAGAAACTCGTTCTCTAAGAGGCCTAGGGCATCGTCTCCAAGGAGCGAAGAGAATGGCATCGGAGGAGTGGGAAGCGAAATCCTTAATATTCCATCAGTGCTTGATGCACCTGTAAGTATTTTGTTTTACACTTACATAATCAACAATCATAGTTATTTTTTTTTCTTTATATTTTTGGGTATTTTGCCACCTGTGCAAAAATGTAAAAAAAAATAGTAAAATAAAATGGATCAGTCAAGGGTTATTTTTATGAAAATAGTTGTGCCTAACCAAAAAAATCTCACATTAAAAAAAGCAGACAAATAAAAAATACATCACTCAATATTGCACACTGAAAAGTTCGTTAACTTTTTGAAAATCCACTGTTTTCATCTTCTCGAATTTTTTTTATATTTATTTCAAGCTGACAATGTGACTAAGTGAATTAAGAATTAGAACCTAAAGAACCGTTAATATAACTTTTAAGTAACATCACTAAATTTGGAATGTTTGTATTATCCCATATGCGGAAAATTCACCATTATTACAGGGTTCGTAGCAGCCGGGAAAACCGGGAAAAGTCAGGGAATTTGTTATTCTTCATAAAAAACAGGGAATAGTCAGGGAATTTTAAAAATATTCATGAAAGTTAGGGAATTTGATGTTTGCAACTGGAAATTTTCTAAAAGCTGGCCCTGGGTTCTTGAAAGAGAAAACTATTTGTGATTTTGAAACCTTTATAAGAGGTTTTTTAGGGTATAAAAAAGATTATGGAGGGCAGTCGAGAAAAAATTTAATGCATAACACCAATTAGTATGTAAAATTTGTAAAAATGAACTACAAGTGACCTGGATTTTTTTTTATAAGTCAGGGAAAACCTGGAAAAGTCAGGGAATTCTTTATTACTTTTGAACTATGAACCCTGAA